GATGTCAGGAGCTGCTTGTGGGCCGTGGAGCTGAGCGAAGGAGTTTGTGGGGCGGCTGGCGGAGCGGAGCGCAGTGTATACTGATTGCACTGATTGCAATGTATACAGAGAGGCAATACATGTAGGCATGAATTTAGAATATTAGGAAATGAAGCACACTCATTTGTGGGGTTTGCATGGTGACAGCTATGTTTTATTGTCATGACCTTTGCTTTTGCAAGACATTCCCTAGGCCCCAAACCAAAAGAAGCACTGTCCTCCCTGCTTTAACCCATGAGTGTAGCACCCGGGAAGTAATTCTTAGAGTTGCAGGAAACTTTCTTTACAGATCCAAATTCCAGGGCTGAGAATCAACTCAGGCCAGGGACAAGTTGGAAGCAAGGTAGATTTTCAGTTTCTTTGAACTTAATCTGAAAGGTAAACTCCATGGGTGTGAACGCAAGGGGGCCAGAAATGGTAAGAGCCCACGTGAATCAAAATGATCTGTTTCCACCCAGCTTCCCCTCTCTGCTGGGAAAGAGAAACCATATTTGATGGGTAGGCCTCAATTTCTCAGAAGTTGTATGGAATAAATCTGAGCGAATTCAAAGGAGAACAATGGAAATGCTAGAAGGGCTTGAAAACAAGTCTATGGAGAGAAGTGAATTTGTACAGGAAGGAAGATAGGCTAGTATTAGGATTTTGCAAGTCTTTAGCATCTGTCCTCTCAGGACCACTTCACACTGAGCAAACATCAGCTAATCTGCATGGCGTGTCGATAAAGCAAGTAAGCATTATACTGCCATAGTGACAAGCGCTCTATAAAGCACTGCCACTGGGACAAGCAAGGCAGAAACCAGTCAGTCAGTCATACGAACTTGGCTGCCCAAGTCCAGGGATGCTAAAGGCAAAAAGCACTTTGCAGGATCAGGGCCAAAGTGAGTTGTCCAGAGTCCCTGAGAAAAGTCAGTGGCAGACTTAGGAATAGAAGCCAGGAGTCCTGGCTCACAGCCTCCTGTTCTTGCTGCTAGATAAATAAGAGGAAACCCTTTTCGCAGTGTGTTCAAACAGACAATGGACCCACTTGCCAAAGGAGGTTGTGGGAGCAAGGAAGTAATTAAAAATTGACACTGACAGCTGCTAGGGGGCAAGAAAAAAAAAAGATTTGCTTAATGACTTAATGGTTAATTTATCCCCCAAACCGCAGTACATCACTTGTGTTTATTTCCCCAAGTTTTGCTGCTAACCAGTTTTGCTTGGCAGATGTAGGAGAGAGACAAGGGAATCTATTCATCTGGGCACAGGTAAGTAACCAATGAAATCAGAGTGGAATGGTGAACTTTTAGTTCACACCACAAATCCAAATGTCTGTGACTGATTAAAACCACCAAACAAAACAAAACAGAGAGTTGTTGCCATTCGTGCAGCGAGACATCTGGCGGCCAGTGAAAGGAATTAGAAGGCCTTGTCTCAGAATAGATCTTGCTAGCAGAGAAGGATGGATGGACAGCAGGCTACCTATCACCACCAGCACCGGGGCTCTTCTCTGAGATCCCTTAGAATCCTGCATCACGGGAATGAATGGGAAATAGTGCTGCGCTGAAGACTGGCACAAACATCTCCCAGAGCATCCCCATGACCGCGCCTTTTATGGTGTATTCTGAATTCAGGAGACATCAGTGAGAAGTGACAGACATTGGATGGGCTGGGGATCTGAGTGGCCAGGAGCATCACCTCAGGAGTTCTGCTTTCTAGACTGTGATGACCAATACAATGCCTTTCGATAGCACCTCCCCTCTGAGGAGAGGAGAGGGCTTTACAAAGATGGTTAAGTAGCCTCCTTTCACAATGGGGACACAAGCACATATATCTACACAGTGTTCTGGAGCAAGCCTCTCAGCTTGGGTCCACAGACTCGGGCTAGTAGGACTTGTGCCAGTGTTCTAAAAATAGCGGAAGAGCTATGAAGTTGCAGTTCAGGCCCTGAAGTGTAGGGAAGAGGGTGGGCTTCAGAGCCCAAGCTTCAACTTCAAAGTGCTGCCCTGGACAGCTATTTTTAGAGAGCTAGCACAAGCAAGAGGAAGACCAAGGGTCAGGGTAGGCCTGTTACTCAGTTTGTGGGGGGGAAACATTAACAGAAAATGTGGAAATTGCAGAAGTGCTAAATGCCTTTTTTTGCTTCAGGTTTTCACCACAAAGTTTAGTAGCAATTGGATGTCTAACAGTGAATGCTACTGAAAAGGAGGTAGGATCAGAGGCTAAAACAGGGAAAGAACAAGTTAAAAATTACTTAGACAAGTTAGATGTTTCCAAGTCACTGGGGCCTGATGAAATACAGCCTAGAATCAGAGCGTCCCATCCATAGGATGGACCGGGGCAACCGCCCCTGACCCTGTGCTTTGGGGAGCCCCACACTTCGGGATGTGGGGTCCAGGGCAGCCTGGGGGGGGGGGTCAGTGCGGGTTCCTTCCACTTAGGAAGGAACAATCGGTTGCACACGTACAAATGGGAAATGACTGCATAGGAAGGAGTACTGTGGAAAGAAATCTGCGGGTCATAGTGGATCACAAGCTAAATATGAATCAACAGTGTAACGCTGTTGCAAAAAAAAAAAAAAAAAAAAAAAAACGCAAAACATTCTGGGAAGTATTTGTAGTAATTCTTCCTCTCTACTCCACATTGATTGAGCCTCAGTTAGAGTATTGTGTCCAGTTCTGGGTGCTACCTTTCAGGAAAGATGTGGACAAATTGGAGAAAGTCTGGAGAAGAGCAACAAAAATGATTAAAGGTCTAGAAAACATGACCTCTGAGAGAAGACTGAAAAAATTGGGTTTGTTTAGTCTGGAGAAGAGAAGACTGACAGGGGACATGATAACAGTTTTCAAGTACATAAAAGATTGTTACAAGGAGGAGGGAGAAAAATTGTTCTTGTTAACCTCTGAGGATGGGACAAGAAGCAATGGGCTTAAACTGCAGCAAGGGCAGGTTAGGCTGGACATTAGGAAAAACTTCCTAATTGTCAGGGTGGTTAAGCAGTGGAATAAATTGCCTAGGTAGGTTGTAGAATCTCCATCATTTTTAAGAGCAGGTTAGACAAATACCTGCCAGGGCTGGTCTAGATAATACATAGGCCTGGTCTACACTCTGAGTTGAGGTCGAATTTAGCAGCGTTATCTCGATTTAACCCTGCACCCATCCACACGACAAAGCCCTTTTTTTCGACTTAAAGGGCTCTTAAAATCGATTTCTTTACTCCACCCCTGATGAGGAGATTAGTGCTGATATCGGCCTTGCCGGGTCGAATTTGGGGTATTGTGGATGCAATTCGATGGTATTGGCCTCTGGGAGCTATCCCAGAGTGCTCAGTTGTGACCACTCTGGACAGCACTTTCAACTCAGATGCAGTGGCCAGGTAGACAGGAAAAGGCCCGCGAACTTTTGAATCTCATTTCCTGTTTGGCCAGCATGGCAAGCTGCAGGTGAGTGCAGAGCTCATCAGAGGTGACCATGCAGTCTCAGAATTGCCGAAGAACTCCAGCATGGACCAAATGGGAGGTATGGAATCTGATCGCTGTATGGGGAGATGAATATGTGCTGGCAGAACTCTGTTCGAAAAGATGAAATGCCAAAATATTTGAAAAAAATCTCCAGTGGCATGAAGGACAGAGGCTATAACTTCCGCACCAGTGCCGTGTGAAAATTAAGGAGCTCAGGCAAGCCTACCAAAAAGCCAGCGAGGCAAATGGCCGCTCCAGTTCAGAGCCCCAGACATGCTGCTTCTATGATGAGTTGCATGCCATTCTAGGGGGTGCAGCCACCACTACCCCAACCCCATGCTTTGACTCCGTCCAAGGAGTGGGAGGCAACACGGAAGCAGGTTTAGGGGGCGAAGAAGATGATGAGGAGGAGTAGGAAGTTGTAGATAGCTCACAGCAAGGAAACAGAGAAACTGGTTTCCCCAACAGCCAGGATCTGTTTCTCACCCTGGACCTGGACCCAGTACCCCCAGAACCCACCGAAGGCAGGCTCCTGGACCCTGAAGGCAGAGAAGGGACCTCTGATGAGTGTACCTTTGTAAATATTATACATGGTTTAAAAGCAAGCATGTTGAATGATTAATTTGTCCTGGCATTTGCGGCCAGTACAGCTACTGGAAAAGTCTGTTAACGTGTCTGGGGATGAAGTGGAAATCCTCCAGTGACATCTCCATAAAGCTCTCCTAGACATACTCCCAAAGCCTTTGCAAAAGGTTTCTGGGGAGGGCAGCCTTATTCCGTCCTCCATGGTTGGACACTTTACCACGCCAGGCCAGTCGCACGTAGTCAGGAATCATTGCAGAACAAAGCATTGCAGCGTACGGTCCCGGTGTTTGCTGGCATTCAAACAACATCCATTCTTTATCTCTGTGTTACCCTCAGGAGAGTGATATCCTTCATCGTCACCTGGTTGAAATAGGGTGGTTTTAGTAAGCGGACATTCAGAGGTGTCTGTTCCTGCTGGGCTGTTTGCCTGTGGCTGAACCGAAATCTTCCCCGCTGTTAGCCATGCAGTGGGGGGAGGGGTGAAGCGATCAGCCCAGAGAATTGGGTGTGTGTGTGTGGTGGTGGTGGGGGGGGGGAGGAGGTGGGTGTTAGTTGGGTTTCTGCTGCACGTGAACTCGGAAACCGCAGCCCTTCCTTTTAAATTGCCAACCCATTGTTAATGGCCAACCCAATGGCTACTTTGTATGGGAAATGAGGGCGCTGCTGTTTGAAGCCATTCCCACATGTTATGAAGGTTAAAGAAGCCAAAAGACTGTTGCTTACCATGGCACTTGCAAGCCGAATTCTGCTGCCCGGCCTGAGCGAGTGATCTCTCATGCCAAACCGGCAGACCCTCAGTAAGAGGCAAAATGCGACCTTGGAATGAAAGCACATATGCTATGGAATGTTAACAGCAAGGTTTACAGTGAAAGAGTGTACCCATTGTTCTATAAAATGTGTCTTTAACTACCACTCTCCCTTTTTTTTCTCCTCCACCAGCTGCATATGTTTTTCCTTCCCAGAGGCTAGCAAAGATTAGAAGGCGAAAAAAACGCACTCGTGATGAAATGTTCTCTGACCTCATGCTGTCCTCCCACACTGACAGAGCACAGCCAAATACATGGAGGCAGACAATCTCAGAGTGCAGGAAAACACAATATGACCTTGAGGAGAGGTGGTGGGCTGAAGATGGTAGGTGGTGTCAGCTTGCTGAAAGAAGGCAGGAGTCAATGCTCAGTCTGCTGGAGCGTATGATTGAGCTGCAGGAAAGGCAGCAGGAGCACAGACGACCACTACAGCCCCTGTGTAACCAACCACCCTCCTCTCCAAGTTCCATAGCCTCCTCACCCAGATGCCCAAGAATGCAGTGTGGGGGGGCCCCTCCGGTCACCCAGCCACTCCACCCCAGAGGATTGCCCAAGCAACAGAAGGCTGGCATTCAATAAGTTTTAAAGTGCTGTGTGGCCTTGTCCTTCCCTCCTCCACCACCTTTCCCAGGCTACCTTGGCAGTTATCCCCCTATTTGTGTGATGAATAAATAAAGAATGCATGAATGTGAAGCAACAATGACTTTATTTCCTCTGCAAGCGGTGATCGAAGGGGGGAGGGGAGGGTGCTTAGCTTACAGGAAAGTAGAGTGAAACTGGGGGGCGGGGTGGTTTTCCATCAAGGAGAAACATCAGAACTTTCACACCATAGCCTGGCCAGTCACGAAACTGGTTTTCAAAGCTTCTCTGATGCGCACCACGCCCTCCTGTACTCTTCTAACAGCCCTGGTGTCTGGCTGCATGTAATCAGTGGCCAGGCGATTTGCCCCAACCTCCCACCCCACCGTAAGCGTCTCCCCCTTACTCTCACAGATATTGTGGAACGCACAGCAAGCAGTAATAACAGTGGGAATATTGGTTTCACTGAGGTCTAATTGAGTCAGTAAACTGCACCAGCGCGCTTTTAAATGCCCAAATGCACATTCTACCACCATTCTGCACTTCCTCAGCCTATAGTTGAACAGCTCCTGACTACTGTCCAGGGTGCCTGTGTAAGGCTTCATGAGCCATGGCATTAAGGGGTAGGCTGGGTCCCCAAGGATAACTACAGGCATTTCAACATCCCCAATGGTTATTTTCTGGTCTGGAAAGTAATTCCCTTGCTGCAGCTGTTGAAACAGACCAGAGTTCCTGAAGATGCAAGCGTCATGTACCTTTCCCGGCCATCCCCTGTTGATGTTGGTGAAATGTCACTTGTGATCCACCAGTGCTTGCAGCCCCACTGAAAAGTACCCCTTTTGGTTTATGTACTCACTGCCTTGGTGCTCCGGTGCCAATATAGACAGAACCCATATCCCTATCACCCCACCACAGTTCGGGAATCCCATTACAGCAAAGCCATCCACTATGACCTGCACATCTCCCAGGGTCACTACCCTTGATATCAGTAGATCTTTGATTGAGTTGGCTACTTGCATCACAGCAGCCCCCACAGTAGATTTGCCCACTCCAAATTGATTCCCGACTGACCAGTAGCTGTCTGGCGTTGCAAGCTTCCACAGGGCTATCACCACTCGCTTCTCAACTGTGAGGGCTGCTCTCATCTTGGTATTCTTGCGCTTCAGGGCAGGGGAAAGCAAGTCAAAGTTCCATGAAAGTGCCCTTAATCATGTGAAAGTTTCGCAGCCACTGGGAATCAGACTTTCCAGACTTGCAACACTATACGCTCCCACCACTCTGTGCTTGTTTCCCGGGCCCAGAATCGGCGTTCCATGCCATGAACCTGCCCAGTTGACACCATGATGTGCACATTGCAGGGGTCTGTACTTTGTGAGAAGTCTATGTCCATGTCCTCATCACTCTCATCACCATGCTGCAGTCACCTCCTCCTCACCTGGTTTCGCTTTTCTTTCAGGTTATGATTCTGCATATCCTGCTGGATAATGCGCACGGTGTTTATAGTGCTCATAATTGCCATGGTGATCTGAGCAGGCTCCATGTTCCCAGTGCTATGGCATCTGCGCTGAAAAAAGGCACGAAACGATTGTCTGCCATTGCTCTGATGGAGAGAGGGATGACTGACAACATGGCTTACAGGGTTGGCTTACAGGGAATTAAAATCAATAAAGGGGGTGGCTCTGCATCAAGGAGAAACTGAATGGCCCCCTCAAGGATAGAACTCAAAACACTGGGTTTAGCAGGCTGTTGATTTCACAGAGGGAGGGGGGAAGAAGAAAATGAATACAAAACAAATCCGGTCTATTTCTTGTTTTCATCCACTTCATCTATCTTTATACATCTGGCTGGCAGCAGACAGTGCAGTACGACCGCTAGCCATAGTCATCTCCTGGGTGTTCGGCAGAAGGCGGTGCAGTATGACTGCTGGCCATCGTTGTCTCCTGGCTGCTCATTAGAAGATGGTGCAGTAGAACTGCCGGCAGGACTGAATCGCCAGGAGACGAAACTTAAAAGGGAAATGACCTGGCTGAGTCACTCCCATGCCTGCCCCTGACCAACCTCACCAAGGTCGGCTAAAAGAGCACCCAGGAGTACAGCGACGACGACTACCAGTCATACTGCACTGTCTGCTGCCAAAACGCAATGAGCTGCTGCTGTGTAGCAATGCAGTACCGCGTCTGCCAGCACCCAGGAGACATACGGCAACGGTGAGCTGAGCGGGCTCCATGCTTGCCGTAGTATGGCGTCTGCATGGAAAAAAGGCACGAAACGATTGTCTGCTTTCACGGAGGGAGGGAGGGAAGGGGGGCCTGACGATTTGTACCCAGAATCATCTGCAACAATGTTTTAGCCTCATCAGGCATTGGGATTTCTACCCAGAATTCAAATGGGCGGCAGAGACCGCAGGAACTGTGGGATAGCTACCCACAGTGCAATGCTCTGGAAGTCAACGGTTGCCTCGATATTGTGGATGCACTCCACCGACTAAATGCACTTAGAGCATTTGTGTGGGGACACACACAATCGACTATATAAAAACGCTTTTTACAAAACCGACTTCTATAAATTTGACCTAATTTTGTAGTGTAGACATAGCCTTAGTCCTGCCATGAGTGCAGGGGACTGGACTAGATGACCTTTCGAGGTTTCTTCCTAAGGTTGATTCTTCGAGGTTGATTCTAAGTCCTACTAGCCCTACTCTTGTGACCTGGGCTAGGAAGCTTGCTCCTGCTTGGTCCAAAATGCTGTGTAAATGTACCCAGAGAGGTCAAGCAATTTGGGCCAAACTCACAGCTCATTGACACAACTGCAGCTAAGTCCTGCTTCCCAGTGCTATTTTCTAATCACTGAGCAATGCTCCCTCTTTGGATATTTCTCCTCCAGGACTGCCTGCTAAAGAGTAAGATGGGGAGGCTAGAAGCATAACAGTTAGAAAGATCTCGGGACACCTAGTCTACCACTTACTAACGTGAGATTCTTTTCTACAGGATGTTCACCCATGGTTTGTCCAGGGCTCCCAGAATCCCTTCTGGCATTGACTGTGCTCACGTGCATAGTGGGCAAGTGGGTTGCTCCCTAAAGGAGACTATTGCTCATCTCTTGATGATTTCTCCCACTCACTAGGCTCATTTTAGGGCACTGATCCTCCGCCTTGTCCGTATTGGACCATCCCTGCAATTCAGCAATATGAGAAAGGCAGTGCGGTCGTGAATCCCTGCTACCTCTTCATGACCCTGCAGGTCAAGAATCCATCTTAGGACATTTGTCATGATTCACCTTCTGCTTTCTCCGGAGCGAATGGGAAGCAGCTTCTCCAATGAGGTGGAAGAATTAATAGAACTGTAACAGGGACTCTGTCCTCCCGTCACAAATACACAGGGACCCTGCACGAAGCCCTCACGGCCCTCTGCTGTGTACTCGAGTCATCATCCTGCAGCAGAAGCTGCTGAGAATACTCTATAGGACGAGTTCACAAGGCTTCTAGCTCAGATTCTAACGTGTTTGAAGCACATATTTGTTTTCAATGAACAATAATCCATGTGACTTTGAAATGTGCTTTCAGTGAGCTTATTCTCCTGCATTTGTATGAACGGTCAAAAAGAAATTAACATTTCAGCTAATCACAAGTGTATTTTCTTCAGCTTTTTCCCAGCTCTTCCAATAAGTAATAACTAGTACTGGGAGAAAGATTTTGAAAATTAAAAATTACAATGAAAAATTGGAAGCACTTTTTGCTCACTTCCAGGAATAACTAATGCATGGGATGGCTAACGGCTAAATGTACCAGCAATTTTTTTTAACTGAACTTCAGTGTAGGACTTCAAAGTGTTTGATGTATCTGATGCTAAATCTTCCCGATTTGGTGTCCGCTTTGTTTTCTGACCCCACATCCCTTAATCTGATAGCCCCGCCTGCAGTGAATCATCACACTGTGACATAGTGTGGGATCCCTCGATGAAACTCTATGGTCAGTGTTATGCAGGAGGTCAGAAGATCCAAATAGTCCCCTCTGGCCTTGAAGCCTACATAAATACCTTCGCACTAGTGATATCAACCCCCATTTCCAGAATTTACAACTGCTTTAGAGACAAAAGTTTACTTACTAGAGGAAAATAAAGAGGGTTGGGTTTTTTAATATTGAAACCTAAGGCCGGTCAGGCTTTGGGTGAAACCGGGCAGAGCCCTCAGTGTGGTAAGAGGTAATTCGGAACTCTGACTTCTCTATTTCTATCTCTGCTTCCTTTTCTCCTCTCAGGGGTCACCCAATGAAATGAATAGGCAGCAGATTTAAAACAAACAAAAGGAAGTATTTCTTCACACAACGCACAGTCAACCTGAACTCATTGCCAGGGGATGTGGTGAAGGCGAAAACTATAACTGGATTAAAAAAAGAATTTGATCAGTTCATGGAGAACTTCCTCACAACAAATGGCAGTAACTAAGGGGGAATGCTACAACAAATGGCTGTAACTAATGAGGAGTGCTATGCAGTAGTTAGAGCAGAACGTTGGTTCTGTTCCGTACTTACTGAGACCTTGTGCCATTCTATACCATTGTCTGGCAGGGGTGAAATGCTGTGAGCTGCCTTGATTACTAAACAAATGAGATTTAGAGCCAGCCAGGCCGATAACTGGCTATGAAGTTGGATGGAAGTTGTAGCATGGGGAGGGCCCAAAGAAAACATTAAGGTCACAGGTCTGGTGTGTTGGGTGCATGCATTCTCTCGCCTTGTGTAGGATTCAGATGTTGCCTGGCTCTGACCTTTCTGATATGCCAAGCATTTCACCAGAAAGGCCTGTTCAGGCTTGTATGGGCTTGCTGGTTAGAGCTAAGCCTTGAAGCAATCTGGTATTTCAAACAAAGGGCCAATGTAGGAGGTATGAGGAGGGGCCAGTCAGTGTTAAACACATCACTATGTCAATGGAACACAACATAAAACTCTCCCTTAAGTTTCCATAAACTTTGGGAACCACTTGCTAGATTGTGTGGCTTTGACACATGGTCAGTATAACAAAGTGTCAGATGTGACATTCAGCATTGCTGAGTATTAGTTTTTAC